CATGGTTTGGATTATCAAGAAACTTTTAGCCCTGTAGTTAAACATATGAATATCAAAGTCATATTATCTATTGAACTATCTAGAGGCTGGTCAATTAGACAAGTGGATATTAATAATGCTTTTTTGAATGGAAATCTAAAGGAAGTGGTCTACATGAAACCACCAGAAGGGTTTCAAAACAATAATCCAAATTTGGTGTGTAGATTAAAGAAGACAATCTATGGATTAAAAGAAGCTCCAAGAGCTTGGTTTGGCAAACTAGCCTTTACACTTGCATCCTTTGGATTTGTTTCAGCTAAATGTGATAATTCATTATTTATACATTTTACTGCTAATAGTATCACATATATGCTTGTGTATGTTGATGACATCCTTATAACAGGAAACAATGTAGACTTTGTGCAACATATTATCTCCAAGTTAAATAAACTTTTTCCCTTAAAAGATCTTGGGAAATTGCACTATTTTTTTGAAATAGAAGTCAAAAGTCTCAATGATGGTAAGTTACTCTTAAGTCAATCCAAATATGCTTCTAACTTGTTGCATAAACTTAAAATGCAGGATGCAAAACCTGTGAAAACTCCTCTTGCTACTGGATGCAAATTCCAGTCTAAGGGAACAGAAGCAACTGAAGATCCAAGCCTGTATCGTTCTGTTGTTGGTGCTCTTCAATATCTCACAATTACTAGGCCTGATCTTGCTTTCACAGTCCACAAACTATGTCAATATATGCACAGGCCATTACAAAGTCACTGGAAGATAGTTAAAAGGGTATTACGATACATAAATGGGACGCGTGATCATGGGTTGCTCTTTGAAAAGTCAAATAATCTGCATATAATATGTTATTGTGACAGTGATTGGGCCTTTGATCAAGATGGTATGAGGTCCGCCTCTGGTTATTGTTTATTCCTTGGAAGCAACGTGATATCTTGGATGGCCAAGAAACAACAAGTAGTGTCAAGGAGCAGCACAGAGGCAGAATATAGAAGCCTTGCAGCTTTGGTAGCAGAAACTTAGTGGCTGAAATCTCTTCTCACAGAGCTTAGAATAAAAGTAATCGTTCCTCCTCTCATTTGGTGTGACAATTTGATAGTTGTTATGCTTACTGCTAAGCCAATTATGCATTCCAAAACAAAGCATTTTGAGTTAGATTTGTGGTTTGTTCGTGAGAAGGTTGCTAGAGGAGAAATAAATGTCAAACATGTGCCAACTCAGTTTCAGATTGCAGATCTCTTAACCAAAGCTCTTTCTAGTAATCAATTTCATACTCTCAGCATCAAACTAAATGTGCACTCTCTTGGAACACTTAGTTTGATAGGGGGTGTAAGAGATAAGACTGATATAGCTTTTAAAAAAGTTAGTTCAATTGTTTTGCATCCATATATATATATATATATATA